TCCATGTCCTCACTACGGAAGTGACATTCATTTTTGGCATTGGCGCCATTTTGGCGCCAAGGTGGGGGCGCTGTAACTTAGGTATAGGGATTATCTGAGGTCCTGATTACGAATATAACATTCATTTTTCCACTGGCGCCATTTGGCGCCTATTTTCTGCTCGTCTGCACCCTCTCACTGATTAGCTCGCGATCAGGACTAAGCCTTTGGGGTGAGTAGCGTGTCCGCACTTGATAGAAGTTGCGCGGATAAGCTGCTTCCAACACGCTTTGCTGATATCTGGCGGAGTATTTTATCCACACAACATCTATCAAGTGCGGTGGCTGCCACGTCATTTCCGGTGACACGCCCAATCAGACTTCGAGATATCGACTGTAAGTAAGCCAGTCACCCTGTGATCTCATACGCTTCAACTTTTGCCAGACGGTGCCTGGTTCACCACCCCGGAGTCCCCTCCCCTAAGCTTAGTCTTAGGTAATATGTACAAGTGAGAGAGCCCAGGAAAACGGAAAATATGCGTTGAACAGTGCAAATGCCAAAAACGAATGTCATATTCGTAATCAGGACCCCAAATAACCCCTGTATACAAGTTTACAGCGAATTTGGTGAAAACAGCCCTGGCGCCAAATGGCGCCAACGCCAAAAATGAATGTCATTTTCGTAATCAGGGCATCGAATTACCCCTATAGGCAAAGTTTCGACGAAAAATTAAAATTTTGAGTTTTGGGGCTGTAGTTGAATAGTGCCCCGTTCTCTAATAGTGCCCACACCATTGGCGGCGACTGTAGAGGAAAGTTTAGGTAGTCCCTAAACCGATTGCATCGCAGATTGCCGCGCGCAGCTCCGGACGAGCTAAAAGTCCCGCACCCACCGACACAACCGCGCTCGCCGCGTCCGCGCCGCAAAGATGAAGAAAGTCTTGGAGCCGAGTGATGCGGCCGAGTTGTCCGACCACAGCACGATGTGGCAATTAAGTCTGTGCGCTCTAATGTGAATGTGATCGCGCCAAATAGTAATGTGATCCCTCTTGACGCGCTACGCTTCAAAGTGTGAAAAAAGTCGCAGAGCCGCAGTACACGAACCATGGCGGGAGTGCCCGCACACTTTTGTCGCTTATCATTGATGACCTGAAGGGTGCCTTATGTGGAGCGACAGCTAAATCTAGGTGGGTATTAGGTTTTCTTGACGTTCATAATTTTGGGAACTGTTGGTTGTGTTTCTAATGCTTTGGGTGATAATTGAAGATGCGACTTTTGAACGCACGCTAAGGCTAAGACTAGGAGATTTGTCTTCTATATATATAGTGAACTATTTGAATGTAATTTTTGACTTGTTTTGGTTTGTTAACTGCTGTTTATGGCCGCAGTTCGCTTTGCGAATGTTTTACAACCCAGAATTCTTGTAATTTTTGTAAGTAGAGAAAAATGACAGGCAGTTGCGCTGAACAGTTTTACAGATTTTCTTTTGAACACTCCACAACTCTCACTGAGAGGCGATGGAAGCATCATCACAGAATAACCTCAAAAGTACAGCCCGCCATCGGATTCATTGGCAAACCTGTCCTGCAAATGAGGCTGTCGTGCCTGTCGTCAGATGTGGTGTCCCTTTCACCAATCAAAGCTCGTAGCAAGGCGAATTGGGTGTAGGGACATTGACCAGTGTACACTCCATAGATCAGTGCACACCCACTGTTGCGATGTCTGTGCATCGTTCGACGCTCTGCTCTCTCGTCTCCGTCTCTCGAATCGGCGCCCAGTAACTCTTAACTCCCACTGTCTGCTTCTTGGAGTCCATAGCTTGGGGAAGGGAGGCCCCGATATTAAGCATTTTCGACAGTTTCTTTTCCTTTTTTCTCCAATTGTGGTTCGATTAGCACCTTTGTTTGTATACTATTTGAATGTAACAACCCCATAAACGTGATCTGGTTGGGGTTTTGGGGTGTTGATGGGGGTGGTAGTCTCACTAGGAACTGTATGGTTGTCACAAATGCTGAGTAGTTTTTACGGATTCGGCCTCAAGCTTTCGGAAGTAGTAAAAATGGACTAGTCAGCATAATAAAGTTCCAGAATGTGGACGAGATGGTAAAGAAGAAATGGACATTACTACTGGTGATAGCGTTGATATCGCATTGCACCTTTACAAGTGGAGTACGTGTCAAAGGTTGGTGCCTCATCGTGGTTTTTTCTCGATTTGGCTTTCTGTTTCATTCTGATATGCGCAATTAATATCGTTTAAGGCAAATGGAACACAGCCTTGGAACGCGTGAAGATTGTTACCAAGTTTGGATTTCAGCAGACCAGCGCTTTAGATCGCGAGAACACTCGAGGTTTTGTTTTTGGCAATGTGACAGCTCCTGGTGCTACTAATTTGACAAGTTAGTAGTTTAAATAGATGTGATATTTTGTTTATGGAAGGGAAATCAGAAAACATCATTGTGTTTCGTAGAGTTAAAATCAGTCGAATTGCCGCTATGTTTCTTGCGTCATTTACCTGTACATATGCAGGGGGTATGACTTAGCTCGTGTAGTACTCTACCATAATGATTTTATTTTTCAGGGCAATTTTTATTCGCTCTAGTGCCACATACCTTGATTAGTTCGTTCCACAGTGATTCCCGTTATGCAATGTCCTGTGGTACTATGATGCAGGTGGGGTGATCACTTAAATTTCCGAAGCATATTGACTCGTTTGTTCAATGGGTTTTAGAATCTCAGCAAAATGGGGTTTGAGTCACGCTGCTTGTCCGACGGTCATCGTGGTGACATATTCCGATGGGTACCGTGCGTTAAAGGCCAACTGTGTCGAGTACGTCATTTTGATATGGATTAACCTTTTGTTTTCATCAAGACTGCATAGGAGGAAGATGATCCACGTGTCGTAGTGCCTAGATGTCAGTTAACAATGCAAATTGAAGAGCCGTCAACTGCGGAATACTGGTCAGTTAATATATCGTTATGCCTTTCATGTAGCTTTGAGCTTGGCAAGGGAACCGTTCGAATTCGGCTGAACTGCACCTTACTGAAGGGATTTCATCATACATGTCTTATTTTTGAATTTTCAGAACTCTAGTACTACTCCTTGTGTGAGTAGCATGCGCAAAATGTTTGTTGTTTTCTTATGATCGAATCAGAATCCTGCAGGTATATCGTCTTGGTTGCTTGTAAACTTGATAAATCGTGCAACTGGACACAATCCCATGGTAGTGTCGTCGTTGAGTACGACATATGGTTAACAAACGGAAAGCCGGGATCCTCAGCAGCAAATCCTCTGACGTGGCAGTTCTCCTTTGATGAACAGGTAGCACTTGGTGAAATTTTGTCAATGCTCTCATCATGCCCTAAAGTTTGATTTTTCTTTTCATTAGTAGTCGATTTATCTGTGAGGAGACTTTTTTTATATGAACCGCGACTTATTCGCAGTTTTCGAGGGATTGCTCCACCCATTTTGGACAATTTGGAAGCCTTTTCTCATTCGATTTGTGGTGGTCTAGTCTTTGCTTTTCGTGCCTTCGGGTCATCTTCCCCTCTTTTAAAGCTCTATCATCTATCCGGTTTTGTTTTACCAATGAGTTAGTATGTACGCCGTCCAACCACATCTCATTCGCTTAAAGTACCACCAAAAGGGTTAGATTGGATGTGTTGTCCAACATGCATCACAGCTTTTTATTTTTTTTCTGTAAAATACCGACATACTTTTTTAAGGACACCCTCGAGCTGTACATGATTACATTGGTCATGTACCTAATCCTGTCTGGGATCATGTCGCGTGGAATACAGATGTCCAAGCGCAGCATTCCGCCTGCTAGATTAAGGTGCGTTCTGACCTCTGGTCGTTTTGATTTTCGTCATGTCTCATTTTTACAGTGATTTTTTTTCTGTTTACTTGTGTGGGACTGTTTTGTAAGGCATAAAGCTGTGTAAGTGAGTGCGACCTCGTGTTCTACGATAATGATCCTTACTCTAGAAGCATTCAATTGAATATCTATGTCATTTCACGTTGAAAGGGCCTACCGAAAATCAAGCTTTTTGGAAGTTCGTTTGTTATTTCTTATAATGTGCACATGTTTTTTTTTCAAAGGTGTGCTGCTATGGTAATCCTAATCTTGTCGAAACCTGTAACAACTGCTAAAGCCTTCTGGCAGCCAACAACCGGAAAAAAATTCAGGCAGCAAAGAAATCAACAAAATCAAGAAAAAATTTAAAGAAACAGCGCTTAAATGAAGCGCACTTCTAGTCAAAGAAGATGAATTTTGGTTTTCAACGTCTTGTTTTCCCAACTCTTGTCTTCGTGAAAGCTCTCGCAGTGATACAGTTTCTAACTTCCTTTCGTTACCATCAAATGTTCCACAAATGGCAGTAGTTGTGTGCATTTTTACTTTTTCGTCCTTTTGTAAGCTGGGTGAGAGTACCATTTTCAAACAGGCTTCCATTCGGAACAGGGTGTTGTTTTCGATCAAAGGTATATCTTTTAAAATGCACAGTTTTTCCGAAGCAGGAGTCTACTCAAATCCTCCTTTCCTGGCATCTTCCATGGAACTGCGTTTGTAGTCTTCGTTCTAACAATCTCAATTGGCTACTTCGCAATTTCTGCTCTTGTACTATGACATTTCAGGTTGCTGAATTACATAATAACTATGAAAGCTGTGGGAGTCGCCTTACAATCTTTGAATGTATTCGTATTCGCGCTCGACGGACAAGGTCTATTTTTTGCCAGAGTATTAGGAGAAGTTCTCAGGTGAGTTCGTGAAGTGGGAACTTCGTTGATTAGTCTCTATTACATTCGCTTCGAAATCTCTCAGCTCTCCAAACCACTGTACTAAACCTTGCGTGCGTTTTCTCCAATAGTGAGCAATATCGTGTTGAATGCCTCGGAAATGTAGCAGTTTGTTCCGTAGGGTCTTTGTCATTCTCGTTCGTGTAAGGACGTTCCGTTGGAATGTTCTGGTGGGACTCTTTGATTGGTCGTTTTTGGCGCGACTAGCGCGAGTCTCTATATGTACAACCATTCAAAAATACCATGACCTCGACTGAATAGGGAATGTGAGGTTGTACATATAACAGAACACGTTGAGCACTAGACCCCTGGTGGTATTCTTGTCCCGCTGCAGCTTGGCTATGTCTTGTGGTCATGGCAAGGACGTAGAACTCGCAGTACATCGCAAAAGCATGCTGATTCCCATACACCTCTTTTTTTCATTGTTCAGTTATTTTTGCAGAGATAATTGGAGTTTGAAATATTCAGAGTAAACAAGATTTCATTTAAAAAAAAGATCACTCACTCGGTTGATTTTATGGCTTTGTCAAGTGCATACTTTTTGACTGTTTTTTTTTTGCAGATTTCTGGTTCTATTACAGGATAGCGAGCATTGAATTATTGTGTTTATTGTTGTTGTTGGTATCACAAGGTTGGGGACTGTATCCGTGGGCGTCAGTCCCATCGCGGTCCTGTATCATCACATGGGCCATTTTTGCCGGAGTTCACTTCACCCTGTTTCTTTGTAATTTTGTGAGTTTCTCATTTGATTTTCTGTTTTGTCTGCTTTCAATGCAGGCAACATTTCTTTTAATTTTTATTTGTTTATTTGTTTAGGTGTTTATATATGACGTTTTGCATGATGTTGATATCTTCACTTCTTGGCCAGGATACGGTCAGCTAATTATCAGAATAATGCTCGCCCTTTGGTTTTTGGTGGAGATTAGAAGTCTCATTATCAAGTACGTTATTGCTCTTTACAATAATGTTTGTGCCCTTTATTGATCCAATGTTACCTGTGTACGACATGTCAGAAGTAGCGCCAACTCGTATATATTCCGCACACGGAGCTGCATGCTGCCTCGACTTCTTTTTTGAATTGCTTCTAATTGTTGACAGATATTGTCGCACAATTTACTGCGCTACGTGTTTTGTCTTCTGGCCGCTAGAGACGGGTTACTACTTAATAAAAAGCAATCAGTCAAACATACCCAGCAATCTCGGTTTATATAGATTATTTTCTCTATAAAAATGGCGCCGTTCAAACCAAACCGGCCTTCTTTGAACACTCCACGACATGTTCTGATCAAGCTGGACGAGTTCCTGATCTAGCTGGACTCTTGTAATTAAATTGGTCCCTCTTTATTTATTCCAGTTGGTTTTCCTTAGAGGTAGTGGATTCGATGGTGGGATCCTTTTCACGAAGTCCTATGACGCAATTGGTGGACCAGACCCCGTGGCGTTGAGACATGGTCAACCGTTGTTCACACCATTCGGACGAGCGGAGAGGGAATGACACGTCTTTCACCCATGAAGCGGGGTGAGGGGGGGGGGAGGTGGGCTCGAGTGCAAATCACGGCGATATCATCATTGGTAGGTGAGTAGGGGAGGGAAATGCTGCAAAAGAACATGAATGTGAAAAAAATCATATGAATGGTGTTCACTTGAGTTCGACCGCTTGTCAGTTCTAACCGGTCGACGGGAAACCCTAGCGCTGTCAGAGGCGGCAACGAGATGGCAAGCATTTCAAGTATGTAGTCTAAACGAAACCAGAACAGATCTGTGGGCCTAGGTTTGCATCACGACACGACAAGAATGGTAATAGCTAGCTTTCACTGGTCCGTAACAAGGAAAACAGGCTTTTGAATATCTTCACAACCTTCAGCCACAGGTGCGTGCGTGGCACATTTTAAAGCAGGGCTTTTTTTCGACCAAACCTAAATTCGGAGAGATTATTTTGGATCAATTTCTGTGTATTCAGACCAAATAAAGGGCAGTCAATTGCAATAATGTGGAAGGATTGATTCTCCGAGGATGAATAGAAAAGTTCACAAAAATCAGCTTCATAAGGGGACATTCTTTGAGTGGAGTTGGGAAAACTCAAGGAAAAAAACTACGAACATAAGATTCCGAAAAATGACCTTCGAACAGCGATCAAGCTTTTATTAAAAAGCCCAGGTCACTGTTGCCATGTCGAAAAATTGCCACGAAATGAGAATGAAGGAGGTCAAAGCTAAAACTCGCTTTTTCAAAAATTTGACCGCCAAACCCCTCAAAAGTGCGGAAAACCCTCACACGAAACACGTGCGAACGGGGGAATCCTGGAAAAGATGAATGGGCGCAATGTGAATCCGGGGAGGGGCAGTCTTTCGGAAGGCCACTAGGACTAAGCCTAACGCAGAGGGACGAATTCCGGAGCGAATGAAAATTGCTTACGCAGCTCGGATTCCCTCTTCTCTCCTCCAAAGCTTAGTCCCAAAACTAAAAGTCAGTGAATCTGAAGCAGTTTTACGGGGTACTTCCCCCCCCCCCCGGAGCCACATTGCGCCGATGAATGTTCACATTATGATACTCTTCGAAAGAAATATATTTGAGCTTTTTAGATCTTCTTAGAGCTTTCAAAATGTCGCTTCAAAAGATATCGCGACCTTAAAGAGGAGGTGCGCATTTCTTTCAAATTTGGGTTTCTCTCATCGTGACGGAGATACTTCCCGACTTGTGAGTTAAGGACAAGTTTTTGGAAGCAGGCTTCGTGCAGGTTCTAATTTTACTTAAACAGAAAATGTATGATTAGAAGAAGGCTATGTTCGTTCGAAACAATTTTTCTCAGCGCGCCTCGCTCTCTTACTGCCTGGAAAATCTGGCGCGTTCCTAGGCTAATGCCACGTCGCAGCCACAGTCTTTGAGGTTTAATCAACTTATTTTTTCATTCATTTAGTCAATATACAATTCATTTCATTGCATGCTCCTCTGCATGAAAGTACGTCACATCAAGGTTTATTCGTCTTTCCCCTGTGTCTTTATTTCGCCAATCCCAACTCACTGATGAGCTCCGGGGATTGACGAAATAATAAGGTTCGTCTGAGGAAGGAGCGAAACGAACCGTATCTATTATTTGGTTTTTCTTTCTTAATTACACCCTTTCATCAACGACGTACGGAAAGGCTACGTCTTTCAGCCATCATGTTCGCTGCCTTCAACCAAAATAATTTTCCCGTCTTTACTCCAAGCGAATTACCATGCATGATCAGAGCTAACATCGGTCGGAATGCGTAGTGTTCTAGTTGCATCTCTTTGCCAATGTTGGAGCGCGTGAGGTTGCTCTAGTCATGGACCTCGCTTAGGCGAGAGAGCGCAATGGAGGGCAGTATATTGACGCTGTTCGAGGTACCGAATTCATGTACCCTGTAGGCCAATGAAAAAATTTAGTGCAAAAGAAACAGGGTTTTCAAATACCTGCGAGCACAGGATTGCACATTGCCAGTGCAACTTAGAGGATTTAACAATTTTTGTTTCAGAAATGAAAAATCTCATTACCTTGGAGAAATTCTTAGAATTTTTTTGTTCAATTTCTTGTCACATTTCTTAATTGCATGTTCAAAGTTTTCAAAAGTTGTGTTTTGCTCACGTCATTGTCAGATTACTTTTACAGAGAAGAAAGTGAGGAAAGGGCGACATTTGTAGCACATATTGGAGCTGGTTTTCTTGTATGGTTTGTCTATTTGCCAGGACTTGGTGTCATTGCGTCATTTATATCTCAGTTGTGGCGATTTAAAATAATTCTTGGTGAGTGTTTAATCTTTTGTTCCTTCTATTGCTTTTCCCTTGCAACACTTCTGCAACTAAGTTCGCCCAACTATTTTCCAAAACCTGTTTGGAGGAGTGGAATTCACGAAACTCCCAGGGTACACCAACAAGCGCCCGGCAAAATTTCGAATCATTGTAATTTACTCGCAATAGCGCATGCACCCGCAGCCAAGTGCGCGATTTCCACGGCTGGCAAGTGAGCCTTACCGAACATGGTCAGTAATTCCACTTCGAAAACTTTCACGTCACTCCTAGCGGTTTTCAAGGTGAGTATTCTGTTCAATGGCCCTTCTTGTGTTCTTGACTGGACTGGCGCATGGCTCCCCCACTTTCTTCACGATTTGGGGCGCGGCCGCGGCGAGCGCGGACGAGTCGATAGTGCCCGCGAACTGTGGTGGTGATGCGTTTTCAAATTTACCCACACAGTTCGCGGGCACTATCGACTCGGCCGCGCTCGCCGCGGCCGCGCCCCAAATCGTGAAGAAAGTGGGGGAGCCCTGGCGCATCATTTTAACACCATTAGTATAGAAGGTAAGGGCTCTGCTGGGGCTGTTGCTTTAGTGGTGGTAGTATTGTTGAGTAAATTCCATTCTATGCTGAAAAAAAACCATTAGGTCAAAAAAAGTGTTAAACGGTTCAAGACATATGAATCTAAATAATAAGGTAGTGTTGGTAGAATGAGGATAAAGAGAGGAATCATTGAAAAAAATGCGAGAGATGGCACCTGTATATCGTTCAAAGGGGCATGCGTGAAATTACTCGAATTATGCTTAGAAATTGAAAAACCGGGAAATAGTGTGTAAAGTTAAAACAACAGTTCCAGGGGTCCATACTTTCGATATTAATGTCGTGGATATGATGCGTGAACCCTAGTCAAGAACAAAAGAAGTGTCGCTGAACAAAAAACTCACCTTCGAAAGTCGTTAGAACGAACTTGAATATGCGCCATTTCCGTTTCAAACTATCCACTTCTCCGTACACATGCTAGCCGTCGAATCGCGCGTTTGGCTGTGTGGACAAGTGCGATCATTTCGGGCTACAGGGACTGTTCGATCTCGGTCCTCCAAACCGTTTAGTTTAATGCTCCGCCTGCACTGGAATTCTGAATGCTTCTTGACCAAACGACTCTTGTCTCAGAAATTGTAATGTTTGGAAGCCCCTAACAACTAAAATCAGTTGCACGTTACAGTAATAACGGTTCTTGACAAGCAGATTCGCACTTTCTTGTGACTGCCCCTTCCTTGTTTCTGAGAGGAACAGAGGGAGTCCTTGTTCAGGGGCTTTATCGGTGGTTTCCCTTGCTACTTTTTTCATTTGCAGTCAATCCTTCATCTACAATTTCATTATTGACTGATTTTACCTCGCGCATTCGATCTGGAATTGTTGCTTCGAGTGTTGTTTTGAGTAAAATTTTAACGTACTCAAAAATGTCAAATATCTTCATTGCGACCTAATTTGATTGAGGTAACGTAACAGTGTACCCTCGCCTTCAAATAACCAGAAATTGTGCAATTGCAGAAATTGACGTGGCATTAACGTGGCATCGATTCAAGAACATCTTTGAGCACACGTGACGTCACCTTTTCATCGAGAATTTAGCCACGTGTGCCACGTGGATTTCTGGCTGCATGAAACGGAGTGTATATGGGCGGAAGTGGTGTAGTGGCAAGTGGCACGCTTACCACGCGAGCGGTCCGGGGATCAAATCCTGGGTCGTGAGTCGCCCGGGCCAACCAAGCCTTCCATCCCTCCGGGGTCGGTTAATTGGTACCAGACTTGTCTGGGAGGATAAAAACACTGACTTGTACATCGGCTGGCCCCCGCAAGTCATTGTATAGGCCACATCGCATTCAAACGCCACTACGAATGTACAAATGGAAGTAGAATGCGTGCCGCATCCCAAAAGGGATTGATCAACGGCAAATGCTTTATCCTTTTACTTTTGACAGTGTATAGTAGACACGTTGTATCAATAGCATAGTACATCATTTTTATAATACATTTTTCTTTCTAATTATTTTCTATACCAATTCAGGAATAACTACTTTTGCCAACTACGTTGCCATTGCTTGCCTTGTTCATCTCTTTTGGCCAACCAGTTCATATAGAAAGTACTTTCAGGATGAGTTGAAGTAAGTTAATGTTTCCCTAGTGATAAGTAAACTTTCTCAGTTCGTGTTTAATAATCTCGCTTAGAAAGAATGACAGAACAAAGGCATCAAGTTAAAGGTTTCGTCTTAGTGTTTCATCTCAGAGCGTCAATCACTTTGATTTTAACTTTGTTGGTTGTGTCCCGTTCACCGCGTCACTGTGGTCTTCTCCATAATTTGACTGCTGTTCTGATGTTAAGATGTTTCTCCCGTCCTTGTCGCAATCCGAAAATAACGGGTCAATGTGGCGCATAACTAAACATCGCACCTTCCATGCACAATTGAAAGTGCCATTGCCTAGGCTAATGAATCCATCATCATTTTTCTTCGGTTATTCGTATGGTATTCGAATTGCTGAACAGTTGAGAGCATTGACTTCATTCTAGTTGACCTTGGTAGACTGTAAAGTTGAGTTGGAGGCGTTGCCTGATTTTTCCAAGCCATTGCCATAATATGTTCAAGCTGTTCTCGCCAATATGTGTTATGTAGGGACATTCATGTTACGAAATTGGATGGTCTGCACTCGGGTTCACGAAGTGCTTGAAGCGTTCGTTCCGAATTGATGTTATTCAGCGTTCACTTGATAAGATTTCTCTGAGATATCTAGAGAGCGGAACCTCGGGAAATTCATGTTGTCCCAGAAATATTGCGCCGCATTTCTTCACTTGTAACTTCTTTCAAAATGGATGTATCTTCAAGAGGTTTTACAAAAATTTTAGCAATACATTTACATATTGAAAGGAATGACATTCATTGGATATGCTCCCCTGTTGTGAGTATGGCTCCCAATTGCTTCGAACGCAACTCTACTGTGGCCCGCATGGCATCCTGGGGTTCTCCGAACTTTGCAGAGAAAAGGCTCCGGCTCATCCATGTGGATGCAATGTTTAGTGCAGGCTCTGCCCTCTAACATAGCCCACATAGGATGGTCCAGCACGTTGGAAATCAAGAGATAGGAGAGCCATTCGTTGAGGATGTGAAATCGGAAAGAGTAGCTTAACACCGCTCCTGAGATTGAAGACATCCCGTCAGCCAGTACTCATTGACTGGCATAGGAATGCAATGATCCAGCGCAAAATCTACAGGTCGGGTGTCAATCAAGTTGGCTAGGGGTTCTTTGAGAACACCTGTGAGCACCTGGTGAACTTGGCTGCTCAGCAGTCGACGTTTCTATTCATCCAACAGGTAATGTAGAAGGGAGCTGGCTAGGCGTCTAAGGTACCCCCACCCCTTTCAAAAAGCGAGAAAGTGTTGGGTGCAGACCATGCACCACAAGTGGCGATGGCCCTCACCATTTTCTGCCAATAAAATGATTCACTAATTACAACTATCATTTACCAGAAATCAGCTATCACTATGAACAACTTCTAACCAGATTTACTTGGAGGCCGTCGTCAGTTGTGGTGTTTGGTCTGCACCCGACACTTTCTCGCTTTTGAAGGGAGGTTATATGCGAAGGCATAGTAAGTGCCAGTCATATGCACCCCAACGAGCAACGCGAACCCTGAGAGGCAACCCCACCCACCAATGGTTTTGTTCTCTGTTTTGAGGAGTGCGCCGCTACCGATTCCCGAATGATACGCCACCACTTTCCCAAGCACCTGTTACATACATCTGCACAGACTTGTTGCGAAGTCTTGCAAAATTATGGCCTTCTTTTTATGGTGGTTCGTCTACTACATAAAAACTCAGGGCCACGTGACCCCAATGAAACTTGGAAAGCTAAACATAAACGTGGCTCTGTGGTTCTTCCAAACTCGCATTGATATGCCATTGAACGGCACCACCTTTGTCGCTCCCAGGTTAGCTCCGGAACAGGGTGAAAATCGTGTCGAGTACGTGGTCGCAGAGGTACGACCCCCCCCCCGAAATCGAGATCCTGGCACGACCCCCTCTAACAGAGCAAATTAATTCAATTAAAATAAATAAATCCTGCAAAACAAATCAAAAAAATTCTGCAAAATAATGTATGACGCCTCATCTTGTCATCTATGCACTGTCTTTCATCGCTGCACACTTTTGTGTATTTACTGAAATATCGACTCGAGGAAAGAGGCATTAACTTTGTGTGACCTCAAAGTCAGGTTCGTTCAGAAATGCACAGAAATCCTGAAGGCACGGGGTTGCGATTCAATCTTGATTCTTGCTTGAGTATATCAAAACAGCCGAGTGTATCAAAGGCCGATTCAACGGCAGCTGCGGCGCGATTGTCACTGGGTCAGATTTGCCGAAATCCAAAAAAAACGTCGAAATCTACACCCTCGATGAAAAGGTTGCATTCCTCCATTTCATAACCTTTGAAGCAGTTTGAGGTAGGGTTAGATAGAGCTGGATTTCGCGTTTCCAAGAAGTATTGAAATTGCTCTGAAAGCCTTCCATGCAGAAAGATAGGGTCTCTCAAATTTCGTCGAGTAAATGTCGAGGACGCCGAAATTTTCACGCGAGTTTTTGCCACTTCAAGAGCAATATCTCTCTTTAACGTTGTAAGATCCTGAAAAAGGGAAGATAGTTTTGGAAAGCGGAAGGTTTGCGCTTTCTGATGGTCTTCTTAGCTTTCTTCTACATTTCCTAGTTGAGAAGATATCTGCGTCGAGTATGTATCGAGGACGGATCCGGCCACCTGAAAATCCGCTCCCTCCTTCACCATTGCAAGTGTGATTCGTTGGCAACACTCGGAATGTGTCTAGAACAAATCTTTCAACGCAAGCAATAAGAATAGGGGCAATCGTCATCATCCGATTTCGTATTGGTATAAGCCATGCATCCCTCCTCCACTCACAGTTGCAGAATCGATTGAAAGGTGTTATATGATGGGGACCTTCTGAACGAAACTGTATTGTAGTAGACATAGTGTGTTGTGCTATTCCTGTAACCTAAAAAACAACTTCATTTGCCCAGCGCTTTTTCTTCACGGTTGTCGTTTTTCCGACAGGGTCCCTAACAACAGCGTCATTCTCAGCGAGGTATTAAGGGAGAAGGAGCGAGCGATAGGCAGGAGGAGGTGCCTTTGCAGCGCGTGCGCACATGTGGCACTCTTCTTTGCGGGGATGCACTTTCATTCTTTGTACTGCCTTCAAATACGCCCTTCTCATGAAGGTGGAGGAATGGAGCGACTGAACCTGCAAAGAAAATTTAATATCATCATGTTTTTTTCAGATATTTTCATTTTCTGCTGCGCTATACCCTCTTACCTATCTGCACCACGATACCACTGCTGTTACTGACCCCCAAGAGTACGACCCCCCATGACCCAGCCCGACAGGTACGACCCCCCTGTCGAGGATTTCCTCGACCGATATTCACCCTGCTCCGGAAGGAGAAAAGCTACGTCTCCCGAATGCCTTAAAATGGACCTCGAAACCGAATTTTCGTTGCCAAAAGCAGAATTTCGAGAAAGATAGATCCATTTGTTTGCGACTAAATGGGATGTGACTGGACCTAATTAGTAACTCGTATACCTGCACGATTTCTATTTGAAGTTGAGTACGTGAAATGTTTCAAAAATCAGCGTTACTATTTCCATTATTTATGTGACCATTTGCATTTCAGTATGCATCGCCGTATGGACAGAACAGAGTCGCATGAAATGCATGACCTTGAAAGGTTGCTATTTGAATCTGATCATTCAGATGCAGATTTCCCGGATGCCGATAACAGCCATCCATTACATTCTATATAGTATTGTATATATTAGTATTATAGTATTAGATTTTGGGTAGGATTTGTTAGCGCCGACGCGTTTCGACGACTTTCTGCGTAGCAGATTTATTTTCCGGCCTCTTTCTGCGATTTAAGGTGCGGTATTGGTCTTGGTTGGATAATAGATCAACAGGACTCTGAAACAACCAGTCTATAGCTAGTACTTGCTCATGATCTGTTACGAATTACAACAAGCATGAATCAGTACTTTTGTTCTGAAACTTGAGCGCTTGTCATTGAGTACCTGATTTACCGCACCTGGATTGCATCCCTTAATGAGGCCTTCTGAACTGTTTTGTTGACTGAGCTTTGTTTGCTCATACAAGCTATTATTTCTGTATTTAAGAGAGATATTTATGAATATACATTTTGGTTTTTTTGGTGGATGTTATTCTGTCTGTGATTGTTTCTTTCGATGCTTTATTGTGATGTTAAGTAAACGATCAAATCTGAAATCATACCAGTGTAACCGAACCGGAGCGTTCCGCTCGAGTGACTTTAGTTCATCACGTCTTTCGTTTGAAAAATTGTCTAGTGGTTGATTCACACTCTGGTCTTCTAGTGTTTCCTGAGGTAAGCAAACCAGCCCTTTTGGCGTTTCTGCTGGGGCCGTATGCTGAATGTTGGGGAGGGGATGGGGTCCCCGAGGTCGACGGACTACTTGAACTCGGTCGGTACGGTAGGAGAGTGACGAAGTGGTGCAGCTAGGTCCAGCAGCTCCGCCAAAAGGGCTGGTTTGCTTACCCCAGGACTAAGCCTTGGAGAGAGGACGGACCTGCGCTCTCTCGCAGGTCCGTCCTCTCTTTAAGGCTTAGTCCTGAGGTAAGCATCAAATTGAGGCGGTTTAAGGAGGGACCCCATCCCCTCTCCAACATTCAGCATACGGCCCCAGCAGAAACGCCAAATGGGCTGGTTTGCTTACTACGTCTTTGCTTAACTTCTGAGAGGTGGTGTGGGGGTCCGCTTAGAGCAGTACTCTAGCGGGATCCATATTCTTGCTACTAATCGGGCGAAAAGATACACAAGCTTTAGTGAAGATAAAGGAAGTGTCGCGGAACAAAATTTCACCTTCAAAAGCCGCGACAAGGAACTTGGACATGGGCCAACTCCATTTTTCTACCTACCCATTTCTGCGCCCGCTTGCTAGCTGTCTAATCAGATATTTGCCCGCGTACTGATTACCATCGTTAAGGGATTACAGGAACTATTTGAACCTGATCCTTTGAACCGCCTCACTTTGATGTTGCCGCGTGCTGGATTCTTGCCTGTTTCTTGACCGAATGTGCGCCGTTTTTGTCTGAGAAATTGTAGTATTTAAAATCTATATGTCTCTCTTACCAATGGAAATTGGTTGCAGGTCTTCAGTATAACGGTACTTGGCAAGCAAATTCGCACAACTCGCCTAGCCCGTCTAGCCTTTCTTTTCAAGAGTACACAGGACTCCCGTTCAGATCATTGGCGGTTTTACTTGCTTCTTTTTCATTTGCAGACAACTCGCCACCAACAATTTCTTTATCGACCGCTTTCACCCCGCGTCGATCTGGGGTTACTGCTTTAACACCGAGGGTCATCTACAAGTGATGGGGGAGGCAAAAAAGTCGCACCCCCTCCATTTCATGCCGGTATTAATTACACTTGGCTAAAATCAAACCGCATGCCTCTAACTGGAAAATAAAAGAGCACATTCCAGCCTCAACAAAACCTCACAACTCCTTCTACACCGATGGCTCCAGAAGATTTTTCCACGGGAACATGGTACACCTTTCGAGCTCATCGAGGTCCTCGACGGATAGTAGAACATTAAGACGATATCTAAAAACTGGCCGGAAGTGATTTTCCATAGGCAAAGCTACAGTCTTTGGAAATCTTTCGAAACCCACTCAGAACTCGCATTTCAGAAAACGTCGTGATGGTACACGATCCGTGTAGGATCCCATCGAGCTCTGCTAGTGCGCCATAATTCTGGGGCGAATTTTCTGATGCCGTCCGCTCTGGCATCAGAAATGTAAAAAAAGAAGTCTTTTTTCATTAAATGGAACGTGGTCTTCAATTCTATGTGCATTCGGTTTGAAATTACATTAGTGCGATCAAATCCATTGGAATGCTGAGACAGTATGTCTTTTTTTATACCCTCTGCATAGCAGCCTCCCGATAACAGTGGAGAATGATCTTCAGTACTTGGTAT